AATATTTTTCCAAAAGTATAACAAGGAAAATTTGACCTTTTTTGTTGTGGCTTATAAATGGAAAAACCTCCATATGACTGTTTTTTTGGGCTTATAATCCATTATCATATTGCTGAACCCCATCACCTACAACAAATAACACATGGCTTATTTTTGTGTAATTTATATTCTAGTTTAACCCAACATGAAATGCGTCCAATAGGCCAAAAGACCACTATGACTTTTCTGGTTGACAATTTCCTAATATTTGGTATGATAAAAAGCATTTGAACGACTATATGTATGGTTAATCAAGTCTTGGACATGTCCATTTGGATAAGAACTGGTACCAAATAAGAAGCATATGATCGACTATATGTATGGTTAATCAAGTCTTGAACATGCCTGTTTGGGTAAGAACTGGTAATTAATTTGGATCATGAAAAAGGAGTATTTGATGGTCTCCCTGTAAAGGTTGTTTGTAACAGGTCCCTCAGGAAAGCACATTTGTCACTAGTAGTAATATTAGCTCCAACTTCAGGCAATGATACGCAATGAGTTGCACAGTGCAGTTGAAATAATGGTTGGTGCTAGGCAGCTTATTGCTTATAATAATAAAATAATAGATAGGAGGAAGTTTGAAGAAAAGCAGGTTTTGAGTGCCATGAGCATTGTTTGCAAGTTTAGCTTTACAACTCAATTTTTGAAAATTCATGTCTAGGGTATTAAATAATGTGAGTATCTTGGCAATTAATCATACATTCAACAAGCTCTTAACTGAAACTGGTGAAGAGAAATTAAAAAAAGAGGATTGCAAGAGACTTTCAAATCTGGTACTGACTTGGATGTGTTTCAAGAGTTCAAGGATTAACAGCCGCTTGTTTCTCTATTTTCCTGTGGGGTGAAAGATCCAGTGTAGATCGTTTCTCATGGCTGGGGAAGTGATTGTGTGCCCCTTAACTTGGATGTTACTATTTTTTTTTTCATTTTTGTGGTGTTGGGAGGACTAAGGAGACAAGATGTTCCAGGGGCAAACTATCTTTGCCAGTTTTTGGTCGATTTTTTAGAACAGAATGCTAGAATTTTTAAGCAGTGGTTTTAACTGCCTCACGTGGTTTGAGAGGGGATGATCTTATTTGATTTCCTCTAGGCAAAGGCACACAGCTTAGCTTTTCTTATTAGGCCTTATTTTTCGCCAGAGAAGGATGTGTACCTTGTATCAGTTCTTTATCTCTATCTCTTTTTGTCTGTCTCCGCTTCTGATAAATTTCTTTGTCCACAAAAGAAATTAGTTCTTCATTGTGGTTGAATATTAAGTTGTTCATATTTTTGATTGAGGAGCTGCACCATGGTTAGTCAAATTTTTAATTTTCCCTTTTCTTGCTGGCATAACATATAGATACTTTTCATGGCTGCCATTCTTTGTACCAAGAAAGTGCAGCCTGTATGCCAAAGAGAGGATGTTGATTAGATATGTAGGAAAAATCTGTTTTAAGTCCCCGAGTTTATCTCATTGAAGATATGGAAACCATTAATCGGACGTAGGGGCTGAAACCCACTATCATGGGTTCCATGGAAGACATTTTTCCATTAGAAGCTCCTTCTCTCCAGATCAGCCAAAAATAATGCAAGAGGCATCAGAGAGAAATTTTGTCCATTCTTATCCATCTTAATCCCTTCTGCCCAAAGGTCATCCATGATAGATCCTACGAACTGGTCAAGTTAAATCAATAAGATGGGACACTGTTCCAGGGGCTGCATGACACAGGAAACAACAATTAACAAAAAGATTTTCATTTGACTTGAGAATCCTCCCAAGCTGCCTCCAAAGCAGGAATAACTTGTATAGGATCTTTCTTCATTCAGATCTGTTTCTGGGGTAGTTTATTTTGTGTTCTCTAGGAAACTGCTTTCCACTTATTAAATGTACTTGCGCACCATTTTATATTTAAACACATACATAATACATTTGCATGCGTAAGTATGAGTAATATCTGTGCATGAATATATAGAAGCATCCCCTCATGCTTGTATGTATAGTTATATGTATATATATTTCTATTTGAGAAGAAAACTAAAAATTATTTTAGTATAGGAAATGAAGCCTTGGAATTGCCTGTAGTTACTTTTGGAGAGAATATCCTAGTAGGATATGACACTGAATCACCCACTTCACTTGTTTGTCCTTGAACTACCTATTTAAAGTCTAATATTTGCTTTATATTTTTGGCTGTGACTATAAACAGATATATTCCTTGTAATTTAATTGCTTAGTAGATTTCACACTTCTTATAGGTAGATCTTGGGTTCCATTAGGAGCCAGATATGCCACGAATCGTACTGCCTAAATTTAGCAAACGAGGCTAGTGCCTCTGGTGTTAGTGGTCACTTCATACTTATGTTCAAATTTTTCAAGGGTGTTAGTCCTCTTTTCTAGTATATATATAACTAAGAAGTTTGAATTGTGAACTTGAGATCATAAATATGCTTGTTATTCTCTTTTAACAAATATACTTCAATTTTGCCATGTCCAGGGCCTGCACCTGGGGACAATGACTGAGATAGGAAGTGGATAGCTTGCAGTTCATTCAATCCACCCTGTGTTTAGACAGACTACATTTAAAGCAATGCAGCGAAGGTTTTGGTAGGTATATCCAATGTTGCTGAAAGTCTTAAAAGATTAATGGCCGCAAGAGTTGGGTGTTTCGACTTCTATGTAGTAAATCTGCTGGTTTGAGATTGAATAAAGACCATCTCTAGTCTCAAGATCTCTGGTCTAAATTAAAGAATTCCAATTTTTAGAAAGTCAGCTTCAGGACTCTTATAATGCTTAAATGCTTTAACCTCCAGATATGGGTTCCTTCTCTTGCTGCTGTGTAAATGTAAATGTTGACAACATTTATCCTTTAAACTAGGTGGTCTCTTTTGTTAATGAATTATGAAATTCAATATTGCATCTGAGGTTTTATATATATGCTATGTAAGTAAATCAGTTTCAGGTAATGCTTTAACAATAACAATAAGGACAAACCCAATTTAGTTTTCAAATTATGGCCAATGTTGTACTTTCAGTTTTAAATAATTTTTTTTTTTTTTTACAAATTAATGATTAAACTTTTAAAATTACTGAATTTTTAAAGTTATTTCAAAAGGTTTAAGACTGAAAATGCATAATATAACAAGTGTCAGATTGGAAATTTTTAATTTTGATTATTAAATCTTTAATGAAGCCAGAGTTTAAGGAACAAAAAAATTTTAATTTTGATTTTATTTTTCTTTATGTGAAGAAACCCAGATAATTAATATTTTTGGATTCCCAAACAAAGAATATGTTTTTTGGTTAAATTTTTAACTGAATTAGTCTTCTGAAATAACTTCAAAATTCAAGGAATAATTTATAATAAAAAATGTGTAGAATTAAAATCATGGCACAGATTTAAAATTGGATATTTGGGAACATATTAAGTATTCTTCTGCTAAATTGTCATGGTGTCCCGGCATAAAAAAAATTTTATTCTGATATTGTCTGGAAAAAACAAAGCAAAACTGAAACGCCAGATTAATACGAAGATAATCCCAACATGCAAGAAAAGTCAAACTATACAAGAATCTATTCTGTGAGTTAAGAATTAAAGAACATCAATATCGATTTTCATCATAAAAATCTATCCCCCTTATCAGCTATTAATAGATATTTTGGTTTGCAGAAGCCAACAAAGGTTAGGACGGCTAGAACATGGTGATTATATACGTGCTTCCATTAGTCACCAAATCGCGGGATGGAAGATTCCGATCCGCACATTTGTTTTAGTTAAATCAGTTGGATATTCCGTGGAATATTTGCTTCATTTTGTTTTTCTTGGATACTATAAAACGTAGGCTATGATAGGATTCATTGTATACAAACAAACAGATATTAACAGCATGAACCAGGAGAATTATGACCCATGTTTCCCCGACCAACCAGTGGTTGATCTCTACCTTCCAATCTGGTCGAACTTTCCAGCTTTCTGGTCTAAGCCAGCTTTCATCTGGGCTGAAGATGGCTCCACCCTCACCTATGCTCAACTAAATCAGTCTGCTTCTTCCATTTCATCTTCCCTTGTTGCTTCATTTGCAAAGAGCTGATAGAGTAATGCTCTTATGCCCACCTGGACTCGACTCGTTCAAGTCCTTTTCGGCTGCCAAAGAGCTGGCCTCTTGACCATTCCTCTACTCCCACCTCACCCTTCTTTTCACAAACCAAACTACCACCACTTCCTTAGAGTTGTCTCACAGACCAGGCCTAAAGCTGCCGTAGCTCCTCCTCATTACATTGCTCTTGTCCAACAATACACCAGCTCTTGCTCTTCTTCTGTCGATCCAGACCTTGTGGTGATACTGAGAAACTTAATATGGATTTCAACTGAAGATATAAAACACGGAGAAACTACTGCTTCAAGGGGTGTAATGGATAGCCCATCTTATAATGGTTGCAAGGTTGATGAAGTATATTTGATTCAGTACACGTCAGGAGCAACTGGGATTCCAAAGCCAGTGCTTGTGACTGCGGGATCAGCTGCTCACAATGTTAGAACAGCAAGGAAAGCTTATGATCTCCACCCGAATAGCATCATTGTCTCCTGGTTGCCTCAATATCATGATTGTGGTCTAATGTTTCTGCTGCTCACCATTGTATCTGGTGCAACCTGTGTACTAACATCACCTGCTTCATTTGTTAACCGGCCTATGCTATGGCTTGAGATGTTATCAGATCTTAAGTCAACTTGCACTCCTGTTCCATCCTTTGCCTTAACTCTTGTCATGAGGCACCATGGAAAATCCGACCAGAAAGAAAACTCAAATCTAAATCTACTATGTTTGAAGAACCTAATCCTTATTAACGAGCCTCTTTACAAGTCATCTGTGGAAGAGTTTCTTCATGTCTTTCAACCTTATGGGCTGAATCCCTCGTGTATAGCTCCATCTTATGGCCTTGCAGAGAATTGTACCTTTGTTTCAACTGCATGGAGAAACAACAAGAATGACTGCTGGGATTATTTTCCATCTCACAAGCAGCTCTTACCAAGTGCAAAGCTTGCAGATCAGTTGGATGAAGTGGAGATAATAATCGTTGATGAACAAACTAAGGAGGCTGTTGAGGATGGAATCGAAGGTGAGATTTGGATCTCATCTCCCAGCAATGCTTCTGGTTACCTCGGCCACCCTTTTCTCAGCCAAAAAATATTCCAAGGGAGGCTCAAGAATAAGATCAGTAGCAGGTATTATGTACGAACAGGCGACCGAGGCATTGTTAAGGGACAAGAAAGATTTCTTTATGTGACTGGCCGGTGTGTGGACATTATCAAAACCCAAAACAATCAAGAGATACATCCTCATTACATCGAGACTGCAGCTTATAATTGTTATCCACAGTTTCTCAGAGGAGGATGTCTTGCTTGTTTCAGCATTTCAAGAACTATTACTCTTGTTGCAGAGCTGCAGGGAAGCGAGAAATTAGACCAGAGCATTTTGAGGAGGTTGTGTGAAGGGATCAAACAAGATGTTCTCAAGGAAGAGAATGTGAAAGTTGGGAGGGTGATTCTGGTGAAACGTGGGTGTGTTCCAAGAACTACTTCGGGTAAAATACAAAGATGGGCAGCCATGGATAAGCTTGTTAGAAATCAAATGAGTATAGTGATGGATCTGAGAACCGAACAAGCTGGTGGGTTCGACTACTCATTTCCAACACTTGCAAGGAGAGGGAAATTAAGGAGAGGAGTAGCACTCTCCCTCATGTGAAAGTTTAATTTATTTTGGTCTTGTTATTTCAACTTTGTGTGCATATTAGCAGAAGTCCAAAAAATTAAAAAATTAAAAAATAAAATTATACATTTAACACGAGATAAATTATTGATAAAATCATGTAATATCTCTTTTACTTTCTAATTTTGTAATGGAATACAAATCTTAATTAACTTAAATATTTTAGTCAAACTCTAATCATCGTTTCGGTATTGGAATGACACAACTCTCATATTTTAGAGCACCAAATATATATATATATATATATATAAGCTCGACATATTGTAAGTAACTAATACTCTCTTAATTAGTAATTACCATGCAAGAAAGACAATAACATTTATATATACATACATATTTGTAGAAAATAATAACTGTTCAAAACAAACAAATTTGGTGGCTGAAGATAATTACTTTCACTTAAATATTTTGCCAATCTTTTTTCACATAAATACTCAATAAACAATCCAGATAGAAATATCCTACCTACAGTAAACAAGCAATACTCCATAAGCATTACTCAAGGATAACTTTGCATAACAAGACTGTCTCCTTATAAACAAAAACCATGATTAATCTTCGTGACATGAATTACAAAGTCACACAAATAACGTGTTACTTTATTTTTAGTGTATAGTGTTAAAATTAATTCTTATCATACAAATATGTCAACATGACAAATGTTTAACTCCCATTGTTATAATGACAATAACTAATTTTTAACTCTCTTGTTTATAGAATCATAAATTCTATTTAACTTCCATTAGTAGGATGATAATTACTGATGTTTGATCCTATTAGTAAAATTTTAAATTTCATTAATTAATGTTTAACTCTATTAGTAAGAAGATAATAACTAATATTTAACCTCTAGTAGCAAGATTACAATTTCATTAACCAATGTTTTAACCGACTTGGGATGACCATAATAATAAATATTTAACCCATGTTCAAGCTTTATTATCTGGATCAGAATTATCAATGTTTAATCCCATTAACATAATCATAATTTTACATAATAATTTATGTCGATTCAATAAAATAATTAATGTTACTAACTCAAAAATGAATTACAATCTTACCATAGTAATTCCTAAAATATGCACACACACACACACACACAAAAAAAAAGAAGAAGAAGAATTTTATCATATTAGTTCCAAAATACATAATTCACAAAATTATGTTATGTTTAATTTTCAAGATAATTAATATACTAGAATTAAATCAAAATTAGTTACAACCAATCAGCGATAATTTTCTAATTCATCCTTGATTTAGCATAAAGATGGAAGTTAGAAAGTAAAAGAACAAATTTTTTTTTTTTTTTGCGAAATCCAAAAACAGATTGGAAAAGCCTTTCTGGAATTTGAGATAAAATTATAAAAGTTTATTATTTCAAATTTGGTTGTTGTTGAAGTCTTTTATTTTGGCGAGTGATTCCCTATCGGACTTGAGTAACAAATGTTTCAAAATTCATTGCTAAAATTGTTTCATAATGGAAAATAATTTAATATTTTATATACATTACAATGGGACAGTTATTTAGTTGATTATCAAATTATCTTAGATAATTATGTTTTAGTTGAGAATTATCTTTACTTGATTCTCTTAGATAATTATGTGAATGATGACGGAGACGATTAATTAAATATCTTTCTTTATAACCAATTTAAGAAAATTAGAAATGTATGATAAAATTTCCAGAGAATTAGTTTGTATAATTTGAGAACAATTCTGTTATGGAAATCGATCAAAATTCTTCTTTAATAAAATTTTTAGCTTTTAGTTTTAATTTTAAGTTGTGCCTAGCTTCCCTAGTATATAAATCAAATAAAAATACTCTCTTCTCAAAATCAAGCCATACTTTTTGGATACTGATAATCGATTTTAACAATCAATATTATAATTAGATATTAGATACAAGGAGATTGTAATTAGATATTTCATATTACTTCAAGAAAGTTATCACTAAATCCTCCCAATACTTTACTTGAGTGGTGTTGAGGGTAAAAAAACTATCTCGATAACTTTACTTAGACTCTCTGGAAAGTAATAAATTATCAATTTCGAGTTGGAGGCATATTTGACCATCTTAATTGTATAACTTGAGAAATGAGTTTCCAGACAATCTTTCCCATCATATTTAAAAAATCTAGACATTTTAAATTTTGTGAGAATTTTTACTCAAGCTATTAAAAATGAGAGCGGCAAATCCGGTAATCCTCCCACTTTAGTCCCTTTTAAAATTTTGATCTTTTCTTCAAGGTACTATGTAAAGGCCCGGAACTTAAATTTAAATTAAATGCATAAGTGAATAATAGAGTTAAGATTTACATTCTTTACACAATAATTTAGAATACCCAATAAGGTTATAAGAATGTCTCTTCTAAAAGACAAATGATAATTGAAATAAAACGAATAAATAAATGTTCTAGAACCACATTCACTAGTACTTGAAGGGAGTCCGGATGATGAACTACTTATAACCCTCTTGCTGATTGGGATATGAATCTTGGTCCTCTTGATCTGAAATAGTTAATGACAGGGTGAGGTACACTAACTCAGTAAGACACTAATCACATATACAGAAAACTGAATATTGGTAAAAATCATAAAAACAACTAATGAAACTCTTAATTTAATATAAATTCATTTAATATAAAGAAAGTCATTTACTCCGTATTAACGTAACAAATTTTTCCAAAAGCAACCTATGAAGACTCATATTTATACACTTTTTATTTTCACATATAAGATAACAAGAAACATTCAATATCCAATTAAACAATTAATCGGCCATCTTTATACTCCATTCGGTAATGGGCGCTAAACATTCGACTATTTCGATACCCCATCCGATATGAGGGTTAACCCTATCTCCTAGACCTTATTGGTAAAGGACTTCTTAACCCCGTCTGACTGAGGTAATATTCACGATAAGAGTTTTTATGTACCAGGCCTATCTGCCCTTTCTCGGGTACCCAGTAAATCTTTTCCATTAGCATAACAATCAACCACTCAATTTATACTCATAGTCCACTTAAACAAATGGTATAGTTTAGCATAGCCAAATAACCAATAACCAGAATACTGATAAATAATTCAAAGGAACCAAATAACCAAATACCGAAAAAGACTCTAAAAACTATCAATTCAATTACGCACAGTATAATAGTAAACAAATATAGGTAGTACAGAAAAATAAATAGAAAATCGAAATGATCATAAACTAACCAGTTCTGTCTCCACTAGTGACCTGTAATTATTTTTAGGGTTCTCTAATTTTTCATAAAAACACACAATTATAAATTATTAACCCTCAATTTGTTGTAACAGAGAAAAGAGTGAGGGATCCTTACCTAAATCGATGTTTCGAGACGCACACTGCCTACTACGATTCCTAACGGGTACCGAATTTCTTGAATTTTCTTTACAGAATCCAAAACACTTGTCATATACCTAAAAATACCCAAATAATTTAAAATCGGTGTCCAAAACTCATTTCGGCCAATTTTGGGATTCCAGCATGGTGGGTGGCGGTTCGCTTCGACCTAGCCAGTTTTGGCTGTAACCCTATAAAAAAATACATTAAGAGCCTCTATTGACCGAAAAATTACAGAAAACCGAACCTACCGGCTGGGGTGGCCTCCGAGTGCGGCGGCTCCACCAATTCTCCTTTATAGCTGAGGTTCTTTCTTTGGCTAATATGCACAGAAAAAGACGGCAAATACAAAGATCAGAAAATCACGTGAAACGAAAATCGAGAAGGGGGTCATCGGAGGGGTTTTGGGAGTTTGGCCGCAACAACTCTGCTGGGCTTCGCCCGCAGTTTCTGTCTCACCTACAGTCCTTTTTGCTTTGATTTGGTCATGTGGGTGCTCAAAATTAAATTTTGAGCGAGTAGGAAAAATTTTTACTTTTTTTAACTGTCAGCAGTGGCTCCGGTGCGGCGGCGGTTGGCGGTCGACCTCCTTCTCCGACAGAGTTGGCGGCTAATGTTTGGGTTCCCTTGTGATGTGAGGTATTTATATCCATCTTGCTTTGATTTGCGCCATCCATCGTGATTGATGTCGTCTGTCCGATTGCGCCTAAGGAGGAAATGAATCTGAACCATTTATCGCGATTTGATCTTGGTCGTCCGATCGCACTTAAAAAGGGAATAAATCTGGATCGTCCACGCGCGCAGGATCGATCTTAAGCCATATAATTGCTGGGCATGGAGATCGCTCGCGTGGCATCCCGTGTGGCACCAATGCCAGTGTGCCTCATCACGTGGTGTGCTCCAGTTCATTAGGGTTACTGACTGGGTGATCCTACGTGGTACAATTTTTTTCTATTTGCACTCTGACCCCATGTTTCTAATTTTTCTTTTAAAAATACTCTCTAAACCGAAATTTTCACCTTTTTTTCTCAAAATTATTTTTGATTTCATTCCTAACCTTTTTTTTCATAAATTCAATAAAAATTAAAATAAATTAATTTAAAAATAAATTTTTATATATTTTCGAATGTTAAAATTAATCTCAGGCCCAATTGCAGGTCTTAGTATTACATACTATGTTTTTTTATCACATCATGTTTTTCTTTCTCATGAGCCTTGGGCTTGTCAATATTGATCTTTAGGACACTAATGATGACAGATGCCGCTATTGAACTAGTTGGCTATTGTGGAGGAGGCAGAGGAATAACTTAATTGCTAAGAGTTCCTTGGTTTCTTTGTTATGATACATGGATTACTTAAAACTACTTGTGTAACGGCCCCATAAATTTAGAGTAAAATATGTGTATTAAAAATGTCAAATGCGGAAACGTAATAAAAATTTTGATTAAAATTCCTTACACAAAAACCAAAAACGTGCTCAAAATATAAAAGAACAAACTAACTAAAAGAGATACTTGAAATAAGAACTATAAATATAACTACGGAGTCTTTAGGTGTCCCATTCGCCGTCTTCCTGCGAAACGGGCTCGGGAACAATGTCTTCCTGATCTGA